TATCTGTAGAACACAAATAAAAGTAGATGAAGAGATAATTTGAAAACAATATTTCATAATGTGTTTTCCTATTATACTAAATGAATTCATTGGTACCAAACTATCCCAGCACACTCTCACTGGAAGTGGGCACTGCCCTCTCTCAGTTATCCATCCCCAGTGCTGTCTATATAGCAGGAGGTCATGCAAATAGGGCCTCACTGTGCTGTTAAAAAACAGCCCAGCCCTGACCCTGCAGCTCTGCAGAGAGCCCAACCCTGGATGCCCAGGTCCTCCCACTTGGTGATCAGGATTGAACACAGGCAGCGCAACATGGACCTTACCATGTGTTGGGTTTTCCTGTTTGTAATTTTGAAAGGTAAATTATTTAGAGCAAAAGATACTGAGGGCGTGAGTGTACACAGTGGACGTGTGTGACAGTTTCCTGAGCAAGATGTTTCTGTGTTTGCAGGTGTCCAAGCAGAGGTGCAGCTGATGGAGTCCGGGGGAGGCTTGGTGGCACCTGGGGGGCCTGAAACTCTTCAGTAACTACTGGATGGGCTGGGTCTGCCAGGCTCCAGAGAAGGGGCTGGAGTGGATCTCATCCATCAATTCTAACGGTGGTAGCACATACTACGCGGACTCTGTAAAGGGCCGATTCACCATCTCCAGAGACAATGGCAAGAACACGCTGTATCTGGAAATGAGCAGCCTGAGAACCGAGGACACGGCCGTGTATTACTGTGCAAGAGACACAGTGAGGGGACCTCAGTGTGCGCCCAGACACAAACCTCCCTGCAGGGGCGCGCTAGTCCAGCAGGCGGCGCTGTGGTCCATGGAAAATCAGGGAGGGCCCCAGGAGCAGGTGCAGAGAAGACAACATAGGAGTGAGGGCTTCCTGTTGGCCTCTGAGGTTTCCCTTCCGTATTAACATCACACGACCTGAGCAAACCTTGAAATGCATGAGCTGCAATGAAGTATCCAAGGATAAGTGAACATTCCGTTAAATTTATTGAAGTATGGAGTTTCACCTTATATATCTAACTTGCACTTGATGGGTAAACCCTGGTCCCTGGTGTGATGACCTCAAACACGGAGAAACACGATCGCAAGTAACTTGGAAACTTTGTCAACTGCATTTTCTTTTCAGTGTCAACTCATCATCATAAAAATTGTATCTGCTAATTTATTCTCAAGTGTGTGGATTTGTCTCATACAAGAATACATGATACAGATTAAGGAATTAAGTCCTTCCCAACCCAATTGACAGAGTCTGAAAACACCCAGCTCTCTCTTCTATCCTTGGACCTCAGGATTGGCTCAGCCCCAGCACCTTGTGGAGTCCGGTGCTCAGGGAGGAGGGAAGAGAGAAACTGGGCTGGACTCAGGGCGGAGTCCAGGGGCCTTGCTGTGCTCTTCCTATCCGAGGGGGCAGAGCAGGGTTGGGCCTACGCTTTTCCTTTGGACTTTAGAAATTGTAACAATTTTAAAACAGACTGTAACACTTCTCCCTCTAAATCCCCCCCCTCTGTCTCTCTCCTCTTTCTTTCTCATCTCTCATCACTTGGATTCAATCTATATATCAGTAAAAGATGAAGAATACATGAGGGAAAGTGTTCAAGTACGATAACATTCATTTTTCCTAGGAATATTCTCATAATTCGGTGTTCATACATTTTCTATATTCTGTATCACTTTTATCTCAGTTAATTCTGTATTTCCACCACACATGTATTCTTAAATTTTCCTAAAATGATCATACATGCTTCTATAATTTATAATATATTTCTTACAGCTATAGTTTTCTGTGAAGAAATATTTTAGTGAACATAAGTTCATTTCCACACCCTATACCCACACACGCACATTTTAGTTTTTTTGTGGTGACCCCCAGTCTCTTGATCCTATTCCCATTTCAGAGACATTTGTCAACTCAATATCATGTATATAATATGCTATTTATTATGAGTTTTTCACATTAAAGAGTTGTATTAAAACTTGTTTGCATTACATAATATTTACTTCCAATTTAGAAAGTAGGTGCTTGTGCTTATCACATCTTGATTCCTGTTATTCCCCTTACCCTCCCTTCCTTCCTCCATATTGGGTTTCTGATGGTAACACCCTCCCACACACTTCTGTACATCTCTGTATGTATAGAATGGATCAGGACAATGCCAAGATTCTACTTTAATAATGGGGAGATGGAATATAAAATCAATAACAGGAAATAATATAAAACCAGGGGGAAAATTCAGTAAACACAAGGCTGTGTCCAGGAAGAGATCCACATAACTGCCTGGCCTTTACCTCTCTTTATTAACAAAAATGAAATTACACAATCTGAATTAAAAATAGAACTTGTGTTCCATATAGCAAAAACTCGTGGTAAATAATACAAAAATGGAAAAGTGAATAAACACACTAGACTCAAACAGATGTGTGAAGAAACCTAAAATTCACAATGATTTAGATGGTACATGTCCTTTACAGCTAGTGCTATGAAGGAATACTCAGTAACTTGGGTTACTGCTCTAATTGTCCCTGACTTATCTAGAGGGCTGCATTGGATGTGGTTCTCCAGAGCAGCAGAGATAAACCAGACACATAGTGACAGCACACAGGAAGAGACATTTCCTCCGGAACTGGCTCACAGGACCATGGAGGCTGGAAAGAGCCAGCTCTGCCGTGTGGTCTGCAGGTGGAGACCAGAGAGCTGGAAGTGCAAGCACAGTTGCAGGCTGTCCCCTGGGGAATCCCTGCGGATGGGTGATCGTGGTGGTTTTTCCTGTACAGACTTTCCTGGTTAATGAACCTCACACACACGATGGAGGGGAACCTGCTCGTCTCAGAATTCATTCACTCATGTGTTGATCAATTCCTAAAAACTCCACAAGGAGACATATGATCCTCACAGAGGACCAACAAGCTGACCTACAAACTCCATTAACAAAGCCCATCCTGTAACTTTTGAGCACAGCCCTACAATCTAGTATGACACAACGGTGAAATCTTAGTCTGGACACAGTCATTTCACCAACATCTCATGTTCCCTCAATAGAGAGTAGAGTTATTTTTTAATTGTATGTATACAAAAAATAAAAGAATGTGAGATTTTGAATTAAAGAAACCTACATTTTCTTCAGAGTTTTACACTATGCCATGCACGTAGTAACAAGAAATGGAGCCAAGACGTCATAGCACATGCACTGGCCATGAGGTGTGAAGGGAACACACACAATGTCACCGTCATGGAGGACACGCTGGTAGGACAGGGATATAAAATAAACACTCTGAAGCCTCAAAGTTAAACTTGAGAGGATAACGCCAGCCAAAACGATGGGCTACAACAAGCATACACCTGTACATCCGGGCTCTGATGTGGAGATTTCAAGGACATACAAGGAAAAAGATATATTAGGTTAGGATTTTGTGATCATACAGATCAGGTGATACTCACAGAACCTCTGCCCATGGACTTTGAATGCTTTTTACTCTATTTTTAAAACATAGCACCTTTATCATTTCATTTATGATTGGCTACCTAAGTGTTCTAAACTGTTGCTTCTCAGGTTGTATTCTGTCTTTCACATGAGGCTTTCACATGACCAGTATTTTGAATGTTTTGCATTGCTAGAGTATCTAATGATCTCTGATCTCACTTGCTTTGTTTTTGTTTTTCTTGTTATTTTTTGAGACAGAGTCTCACTCTGTTATTTAGGATGGCCTTGAATTGATTATGTAGCCCTGGCTGGCTTTGAACTCATAGAAATCCTGCTGCCTCACAGTCTTAACTTCTGGGATTATAGATTTGCACCTCCACACACATCTGGATCTCTCATTTAAAAAAGGCTGTAGATGAAAAATTTGTTGACAAGTTTGGAATCCTCCTTGAATTTTTTTTCAGAAATAGATGAACATTTCACTTACATTATTGATAGTATTGGCCTTCTCTATCTTGGTTTTTGAGACAAGGACCGGGATGTTCCAACACAGAATGTGGTCCCATTTGTGGTGTTCTCTGGGTCCATCTGAAGATCAGGGCCAGGAGGAGCTGCACTGAGTGCGCAGAGCAGGGCCCTCTTCATCCTAGGACATTCAACATCTCTGAGAGGCAGGTGGGGATGAAGCCAGATACCAAGTCTCATATGCCCTTGCTCCTTGAGTATTTCCCTACTTCTTCCTCCTGTCTCCCTCTTGATTGGTGTAAGGTGAGCTGCTCAGGTGATTTTCCAAACATTCTATTCAGGCTGCACATTTAGAAACTTGAGTCATTATGAAGCCATGAGTCTTCAGGGACAGGGTTCTAAGAGGAAAGGTCAGAACGTCTGTAGTCCATGAGAGGATCCCAGCATTTTCAGATAGTAGTAGACATCTCTGATTACAAAATGCCAAGAATGGGCTTAGACAGAGACACATGAACTCCAAGAAAATTCTCCAAATAAGTTAACTGTGAAAATGTAGGGAATAAGATCTAGAAGTTGTCTATGAAGACTAACCTCAAGGATGAAGCAATACGTTTTTAAAAGGCAGTCTTGGAGATTTGAACACGCATGGCACTAAGAAGACAGAAAGCATAGTCAGATTCTTAAATATTTTTCTCTATCTCCAGCAAGAGCCCAGGAAATACACAATTCTCTGCCTCACTACAAACTCCCCTCTGGAAAGGCATGCTTTAGTAAATATACTCAGCACATTACAACCCTTTCCAGGCATGGACACTTTCATGTTAAAGTTGCCAATGAAAACTGTGCTCAAAATAAACAAAATCTTTGCTCCAACTCAATTTCTCTGTGTGTAGAAGTATGAATACCACAGAAGATACAGAACAGTGTCATTGGGGTGTTCCTCTCCCCAGTGCAATGGATCATCATGAGAAAAACACTCTCCTGGGAAGGACCAGAACACCCTGCCCTCTGTCCACCTCTTATAGCCTCACTACCTTCCCCATGCAAAACAGCCCCAGGCTCAGGATGAAAAGCCAGACCTGGCTGAGCAGCCCCAGTCTCCCCTCACAGGAGCCTTCATATAGCATGGAGTCCTTGGTGCTGCTCCTCTGCCTGGTGGTGGCTCCCTGCTGTGAGTGTCTCTGAGTTTCAGGAGAGTGAGGGGAGCACAGGGTGTGTGGTGTGTTTGACTGTGACTGATGGTGATGCTTCTTGTCCCCAGGTGTCCTGTCCCAGGTGCAGCTGAAGGAGTCAGGACCTGGCCTGGTGAAGCCTTCAGAGACCCTGTCCCTCACCTGCACAGTGTCTGGATTCTCTTTAACTGATTATGGTGTGCACTGGGTCTGTCAGCCTCCAGGGAAGGGACTGGAGTGGATCGGTGTGATATGGAGTGGTGGAGGTACAGAGTATAACTCAGCCCTTCAATCTCGAGTGAGCATCAGTAGGGACACTTCCAAGAGCCAACTCTCACTATCATTGAGAAGCCTGAGATCTGAGGACACAGCCGTATATTACTGTGCAAGATACACAGTGATGGGAAATCAGTGTGAGCCCAGACGCAAACCTCCCTGCAGGGGCTCCCAGGAGACAGGGGGCAGGCAGGACACACTGAGCTCTTGTTGGGCCCAGAAACAGGTGCAGGATCCTGGGTCTGCTTTGCTGTTAGACTCTGGTTTTCTCTTCCTGTCCCCAACTTTGCTAAAGAACTTCTGCAGTGTAGGCTTCTATAGACTTTGGATTTTTAAAATTTTACTTTCTTTCTTATCAGTACATGTTTGCAGTACAGCCAGTTTACAGTCAACTTCAGAACTGGGTGCATGTATAGAGTGCAGCTTGATCCTTTAAGGAATCTCCATCCTATTCATCATTAACTTGACTCTTCCCTCCTCTAAATCTCCTTTCCACGTTTTAGTTCACATTGATATTATTGAATTTATCTCATGTTTATGATATATAAAATTTATATTAATTTTCAGGTTCATGTACATGGCACGTACATATCTTATATTTTCCCTGTCTCCTATTTTTCATCTATGTTCTCTTGGACTCCTTCCCATTTGTAAGAGATCTACCTATTGCCTTGTCTCCTTCTAGCCATTCTTTACTGTGCTTTATGTTTATATTTTGCCTCACTCAAATGAGAAGTACTGTATGGTATTTAAGTTTTTGTGTCCTATCATTTTACACAATATTATATTTTCCATGTGCATCCATGTCCCTACAATGTCTCAAATCCGTCCTTCTTCATGGCTGAGTGACATTCCACTAACTCTCGATACCACACGCATCCTCTGTTGATGGGCATACAAGCTGCTTCCAGAATTTAGCTCTTATGCATAGTGCTGCTATAAACACTGGTGTGCACATTTTGCTGTAGCACGATGTGCTTAGCTCTTTCGGGAAGATACCTGGAAGAGAGAGAGCTGGGTCCTATGGAATTTCGGTTGTGAGCTGTTTACGGAATTTCTGACCTGAGTTACACAGTGGTTGTACCAGTTTACATTCCCAGCAACAAAGAAAGAGCGTCTTGTTTTACCTGCAGCCATGGCAGAATTTGTTACTAGTAGATTTTTTTGATGATGGCAGTTCTGTCTGGCCAAAGATAGAATGTTAACATTGTTTTAGTTTGAATTTCTCTAAGGGCCAGGAATGTTTAATATCTTTTTCTATATGCCTTGGCCACTTGTATGTCTTCCTATGAGACGTACCGGTACATTTTACTTGCCTGTTTCTTGACTGGGTCTTTTCTTTTAGGCGATCTAATCTTTTTGAATTTTTCATACAGTCTAGGTATCATTCCTCCCTCTGAGGAAAAGCTTGAAATAAATTCCTCATCGTGTCCATTGTTTCTTCACTCTGCTAATTCAGTGTGGAGATGCTTTTTGATTTGATGTGATCTCAGTTTGTTAATTCTTCTTGTTACTTAATGTAGAATTATGGTTCTGTTTAGGAAATCTCTCTTAAATCTATCACTTAACGTTTTCTATTTCATTATCCAGTAGGTAAATATTTGTCATTGCTCTGACAATGACAAACATTGAAAGAAAGGCTGCTCTGATCCAGGCTCCGCATGTTGCAGATTCCATTGCACAAATTCCTATACTGGGTAAAATCACTTTCAACATCAAAATCCCAAACTAGGATTATTTTCTCAGTTGCTTTTAGATTATCTCCTTGCAGAAAAAAATGAGCCATCGGTGCACACATTCCCAGTTTGCACAGCTAAATTCTGCCAATTGTAGCTCTTTTCAGGTCCTTTCCATGGACAGTAAACTGCCCTGCGTTTCAAGAGTTCATATTTTTTCTTTTATTTATTTTTTATTTTTTTGTGCCGGGGATTGAACAGGGGTCCTAGTGCTTGCAAGGCAGATCACCGAAGAGCTGAGATAAATCCCAGGTCCGAATTTTTTCTTTTAAATTAAGGTACATTTTCATTAAATAAAAATTAAACTCAACTAGCTGAATTAGTGCGGAGTCTTTGCATTTCAATGATTTTTGGAACCCTTCCTCCCCAGCCCATCACCACCTCCTTGCCCAAAGCTCTCTCTGCAGACTCTGCTTCTCTGTATCTTAACCGGTCTCCATATTTTTTTTGAATTATTTATTGTTTTCCCTTCTCATATTAGAGAACCATGCAGTATTTACACATCAGTGTCTGATTCCTTTAACAGCATGATGGTTCCATAATCCACCCATTTCCCTTCAAAACACTCAAATTTATCCTTCTTTAGGGCTGACAACTGCTCCTTGTATTTAAATACCATTTTATTTATTCTTCTGTTGATGAGTATGTAGGCCACCTTTATGGTTTAGCTATTGTGGCTTGTGCAGCTCCAAATACGGATAGGCGCATATCATGATAATACCATGACCTTAATATTTTGGAAATTTATCCAGAAGAGGTAAAGCTGAGCCAAACAGAGGTTTTATTTTCACTTTCTATTTGTTCTATTTTTGTTGACCCAGTAATGAAAAGTTTAGAGTTATAAATGACTTCAAAACTGTTTATTATATGGAGCCCTGCAATTCACTAACTGTTTGCCTTTCTATTAGCAGTTAAAAGCATTTCTCAAGGGCTAACTCAAATAATTTTATTGTGATCCTCCTGTGCTAATGCTCTGAACTTTGGGTCTGGTAGGAGGTGGGACAAACAGGACAGAATGGTTGACTTAGCTCACAGACCATCAGAGCAGACCCGAGCTGTCAAGTAAACATCCCTTTCAGGAAGCACTTCAGGCCAGAGCACCTAGATCCACCTCCTGTGTACAGCATGTCTTCCCCCGGGGATTACACCTTGGAGGAAGCCTAATCTGAATTCCATATCTCTGCCTCTGTTCTAAGATAAAAATGAATCAGAGATTTGGAAACCTCTGGAAGATAACACAGGGGGGAAATTGAAGGCATGGGCACTGGCAAAGACTTCCCTGACAGAAGTCCACTAGCACAGAAATAATTTCAACAATCAAATGTGACTGTATCGTATTAGAAAGCTTCTGCACAGCAAAGCAAATTCCCCTCACAGTGAAAAGATAAACCACAATGGGGAAAATGCTAGGGACTCTTCTAAAAACTTCTTTAAAACCTACATGCTAAAGGGGCAGGGCTTTAGCACAATGGTGCAGCTGCCTGCCTTGCAAGTTCAAGGTCCTGAATTTGATCCCTGTCCCCCCAATATAACAACAAAAACAACAACAACAAAAAATGACGGCCTAAAGAAATAATAAATGAGTCACTCAAAAAATAGACAAGAAAATTAGACAGTTTTCAAGAGAATGAAAGATAAAAGGCTAAGTAGTTATGAAAAAATGTTCACTATCTTTAGTAATTAAGCAATGTAAATCAATACTATTCTGAGACTACGTCTCCATTCAGAATGGCTATCATCTAGGATACAAAAGTCTAAAAATGCTGGTAAGAATGTGTGGAGAAAGAAACTCTTCCACAATGATTTTTTAAAATGTAAACAAGTGCAATATCTCTGGAAATTAGTTCAGAGAATTGTCCAAAAGCTCGAAATAGAAATTGCATTTGATTCAACGATACCAATATGAGATATATTTGCAAAAAAGTTAAAGTCTTGTCACCAAGAAAAGGAGGAAGAGAAGGAGAGGGAGAGGGAGAGAGAAGTAGGGGGAGAGGAAGGTAGAGGAGGGGGAGAGAGGCTGAGAATAAGACCTAATCCAGTAGCCAGGTGCTCATGACCTACTTAACTCAAAGGAGGGCTGGGCTTCTAACAGCCCATTCAGCTAAGACCACATCAATGGACTAACCTATTGAAGTCATTGCTGCCCACAGGATCTGGACATCTCTCTAAGCCCTATCTCTGAATATCGATGCACTGGGCTCAAGGCTTCTCCTCTCCTCCTCCCTCTCCCACTTCTTCCCCTTCCCCTTGCATCTCTTCCTCTTCCTCTCCTCCTTCTCCTTTTCCTTCTCCTTCCCTTCTCCTTTCCTCCTCCTCTTCATCCTCCTCCACCGTGCAGCTGGGCTTTGACTCATGTTCCCCACTTGACAGAGAACAAAGATGGACGTGAACTTCAGAGCTGAACACAAAGTGAGTTGTTGAAGTGACTTCAGCTCTGGGATGTGATGGGCACTATTTTTTAGAGCCGTCCAGTTCCTATTTACTATTGGTGTCCAGTTCTTATTTACTATTGTGTATTTTTGGATTCAAAAAAATGTTTTCCAGTGCAAGGCAGCAAAATTCTTTGTGATTCCTTGAAACTAAATCTGTATAAGTGTATTAGAGAAGAGACAGAGCCACCGAGGGCAGAAGCAAGCTATCGGTACCATTAATTCGGTCTAAATGGAAAGTTTATAATTCTAGAAGTCCTAACAACTTACGTTAGTACAGAAAAAAGCCTCAGTGCAGAAGGAAATTGTATTTTGACGAGGCGAAAAATGACACTACACAAGTATAAATATTTACTTTGATTCAGAAAAAATGGGAAGAAAGTTTGAGATGAAAAAGTATTTTCTCCATAGAAACTCATGAACATAGATTTGTATAAATGCATCTCACACACACAAGGAAACACTCTAGTCAAATGAGTGACTCAAAGCCTGTAAAATTGACATTTCCATATTTGAGAAGATTTGCTCAGAATTTAATGGTACGACCAAGTTCAGTTGTGGGCCCGAAAACTTTTCATGATGTCCTACTTTCATCATTACTTTTGTGAGTGGAAAGGGGACTAAGAGTGAAAGAAGCAGGGAGAAAGAGGATGGGAACGGGATGAACAGCAAAAAGGAAGAATGAAGATGTAAATTGTACTAACTCCTCGCAGTAAATGTAACGATTATGTATGGCAAACTTGTAGAGTACTAATAAGGAATACAGATTAAAAAACCTTTGGAATATGCACATTTGAACAGTTAGCATACAGAGAAAGGAAATGGACTTGGTGCAGTGTCCAGAAGTCGATGTGCACATGTGGACCTGTACCATGGATGTACGTTGTGAGTACGCACACACACAGGTACATATGCGTTGTAGTTCTGAACCCTACAGTGCTCTTATCCCGGGGCCCTGTGTGCTAGTTTACATAGATGCAAAGCCCGCTTTCATCTGAGAACTCATCCAGCTGTAACCAGCTTCTGCCTCACAAGTCCTGTCCTGGAGGGAGAGGACCTAGGCAGTGGAGCCAGGGACAGCACATGGCTCTGGGAAGGCTCAGTCAGAATCCTCCACCCAGGGGCTGTCTCCAAAACAGAGACCTCCCATGTCTCCCTCGTGCCATTACACATAAGACATGCCCTGGGATTTGTATTGCTAATCTGAAAGAAATTGTAACAATTCTCCCTCGTCTTTTTACGGGTGGCAGCTCCCAGATTCGAGTGTCTGAGGGCTCAAATAGAAGGGTGAGCAGATGCTGCATCTGAGCTCCAAACTCACTCTGTTCTCAGCCCCTCTGTCTTTTTCTAGGTGCAGCCACAAAAGGTGAGACTTGGCCTGTCCCTCAACTCTGCATGTTCTGGTTACTGAATCAGTAGTGATTACTCAGGAGCTGGAGTCATCAGCCCTGGGTAAGGGAACAGAATAGGAGGACAGTGCGATTTTAGTGGAGGCATAACTTCTGTTTCATCCCTGACAGTCAATGCAGCATCTTCAGAGACACATCCAGTAATTAGTCTTCCCTGCAGCGGGTCTCAGTAATCGTATTGGCCACAATTGTGCATTACTAAGAAAAAGATATTGCATGGAGACATCCATGTCAGCCCAAACCCAAACTCCTGAGCTTGTGCTTAGCTGGGTTTTCCTTGTAATTTTTGGTGAGCAAGAGATACTAAATATGTGAGTGGAAGTGAGTGAATAACCTGTGGGCGTAAGGGGACATCAATGTGAGCCCTGACACAAACCTCTTTGCAGGCCCGTTCAAGACTCACAGGGTGCACTAGGGATGCAGCGGAAACCAAGTTGTTTTCCTGTTAGGATCTGAGACTTCTTTCAACACAGTACTTATTCCCAGACACTTTGCTTTCATATATCTGTCCTTACCTCTGATGTGTCTCCTTAGTCGCATGTGTTTAATAAGAGAACACATTCTCAACTGTACAAAGCACAATGCAACAGTTCAGATAAAATTGATTCTGCTGTGGTCCTCAGGAGCAGATCCTAATGAGTCTTAGGGAACCTGGTGAAAGTCTGGTAGGAATTTGAAATCCGCAGGGAGAAGCAGTCAGTCTGAACCCAGACACAAACCTCACTTCTCGGTGATCAGGACCAGCAGGCCATGCCCAGTGCAACCAGGGGAAGCCGATTACCTCCAAAGGGAGCTGAGGTCCGCAGCAGAGCACTGAGCACGATCAGGATGCGCAGGAGCCGGACCTTCCAGGGGTTCAAAACAAGAGCGGGGGCACTGAGGATGTGGGGAGACTTCACCTGCGTTCTCCTTGCTGTTCATCCCTGGTGAGTCATTTCTCTCTCTTTAAGTGGAACAATAATGGGCCCTATGTCTTTTTCATTAGGTCTTCTTCATGCATGGTAACATTTATATATAATATTTTAGATAACATTTATAATGTTTTTAACCTTTTGTAACTAAAGCTGGAGGAACTCTTTTTGTTGAATTTATTTTACTACTTCAGTTGTCAACATTCCCATTAATTAAAAGTGAAATGTCCATTATTGATCAGTACATTTCCTGGTGAAACAAGTACAAACATCAGTACAATGTCATATTAAGTAATTTTCCTAAATTGCCAAAGGAACACCATACATTTTTAGCTATCTCTCTCTTTTTTTTTTTTGCATTTCCCTCTCTCTCCTGCTCTAAGTGAAGAAAAATCTTTCTCAGTCTTTGTGGATTTGCTATTCTTGAAAAGATTTTGTGTTCTTAATAGACTATTCATATTAGTCCTCTGTCCGAGTAATAGCTACAAAATTATTCTGTTAAGTATGTGAAATAAATCAAAAACAAATACTTAAATATCACATCACTTCTCTTACCTGAGAAACAAAACTAAATAAGAATAAAACTATAGGAAATTCGATCATATTTTGTAAAAGAGAGAATGACAAAGAAATGAAGGAAAGGAGAGAGGGAAAGGAAGAGAAGTGGGTATAGAAGAATTAAATTGGTTATATTCGTGTACTGACTCCTCACCATGAATGTAACCACTGAATGCTGCAAACTGTGCTAATAAAAAGAAGCACTGAAAAATTTAAAAATAGACTCCATGAAAGGCCAATTGAGCATCTCCAGAGACAAAACTCAGAACGTGCTGTCTCTCCAAGTTATCAGTCTGAAATCCGAGGACAAGCTTTTGTATGACTGTGCAATAGAATCAGGGAGAGGACGTCAATGCAGGCCAGACATAGACCTCCCATCAGGGCGGCCACGACCAGCAGAGGGCTCGAATGATCCACTGAGCACCAGGAAAGGTCCCAGGAGCAGGTGCAGAGAAGGAAGCTGAGTGAGGGCTTCCTGTCCACCCCTGTGGCTTCCTCTCAGTCTTACCATCATCTGAGGAGACCCTGCAACACATATGCTGCAGACGACTTAGGAAGTAACCAAGTTCCAAGAAGAGATTGTCTTTTAAATTTAATTGAACAAGTACATATTTACATAATTGCTTCCTTCATCTCCTAAACTTGGATTTTGCTAAATAAGTAAATATGACTTGTATGCACTTCAAAGTTTCTTGGAATTTCGGAGTTTAGAATTCTTTTGAATGCTGAATCTTTGTCACCTAAAAATGAATCTGATAATTTCATCCCCATGACAAGGAGTTGTCTCATGCAGAAATAAATGCTTCAGATTAGGGAATTAAATCCTTCACATCCCTCTCCACAGGGTCTGAGTACACACAGCACTCTCTTATGTAGCCAGTTCAGGAGGCCTTGTCCCAGGATCAGCACCAGCACCATGTGGACCACTGTGTTCAGGGCAGAGGGACACAGAGGCAGCCTCTCTCAACTCAGGGCAGGGTCAAAGACTCCAGTGAAGTCTTTCTGTCCATATTTTCTGAACATGAACAGGAACTTCACTTTCTTTATGGGGTGTATAAACAGAGAATTGTAAGATTCTATCTTTGGACTTTTTGTTCTTTCTCCTCCTCTGCTTTCTCCTAATTCCTCATTCTCTCCGTCCCATCTTTCCATCTATGTATCAGTAATGCAGCACACTTAAGATTAAATACTCCTGTTTCATAACAATCATTTTTCCTTAACAGATTCTTGTAATTTTGCCTTTATATATTTCCTTTTCTGTATTTGTTATTTCTGTATTGATCAGAAAATTTTCTAAACCTAAGCTTTCCTTAAATGATCAGAAATAACAATGTAGTTCATAATGTCATTCGTGTGTTTTTGGATTTCTGTAAAGTGTGTGTACAGTGAGCAGAAGGACACTCAGCCCCACAGAGTTAGAGTTCCTGAAGTCAGAGCTGAGGAGAAGTCTTCACACATAGACCTCTACACTGCAGGTGTTACCACGGCTTCATCAACGCTCATCCTGGGAATCAAATGCATTTCCCCTCCTCAGAGAGCTCTGTGCCACACCTGGAGCCCAATCATGACTGATGTGTCCTGTATGAAATGATGGCCCTGTTATTTCTAGCTCACATGAGCCCATCTTCCAGAATATGCATCACTCGACTTGAGGCCGGATCTTCCCTCAGACCTCCTGGAATTCACCTTCCTCAAGATCTCTGAAATCTCTAAATCTTCTCATTATCTTCCTTCCATTTCCATTTTTTATTGAGTTTATTGGTACATTTTAGGCATAAAGTATAGTTACATTCATTATTGGGATCCTGTAACTTTAATTGACAGGTCTGGTTCTCCTTTTTTTCCCCTTGTCCCTGCCCTCCCTTCACCCCCTCCTCCCCTCCCCATAGCAATTGTATCTTTAAGCAAAATTATTGTGGAAATTTCTAGAAAGTCTCACTACCTAATAAAATGGAAATGATGATACAATCAATCAATGGAAGAAAAACATCCTAAATTTCAGTTTTCTAAATGTAAATCCTCCGCACTGCCTGCTTTATATGTTAAAGATCCCTTGATACTGTGCCCACCACATGCAAAGCATCAATGCACATGTTTTAAAATTGAAAATATCACCAATGCCTGATATCACAGAAAGTCTTCCTAGTTTTGCTGTTTCAAAACAGCACAGTGAATCAGGCAGGATGGTGTGGGATTATAATACCAGCCCTCTGGTTGGCGGAGGCAAGACGATCATAAGGTGGAATCCAGTGTTACGAATTCTGTGACTTATGAAATCTGTAGTGCCTATGTGAAAAAAAAAGAAAACTCTGAAGATACACCTGTAGTTTGTGTGGAGACAAAGGGTACAAGTCCTAGTATTTCAAAAGTACAAAACAAACAGACAGATGATACACACATAGGAAACTTAAAAAATTGTTACATAAAAATAATATACTAAGTTAAGAGCCACTGATTTACTTAGTATGAAGAAAAAGATAGGCCATAGTGTTATCTTATCAAAGGGGGGGTTGAAGTTGTGGAACCCCAAGACGTAAGCTCACTTCCTTGGCAACATCTCCAAACAGAACGTGGAACCCTTCCCAACGGGCGTCACAACCCAGTAGCAGCCGTCGCCCAAGTTCAGTTGGCCGGAGACGGCAACAGCGAACATGCTGAGCTGCTTCTCCAGTTCGCGAGGCCGCAGCCTCAGGACCCCAGGCAGAGAAAGTATCTGTGAAAAATTGAGAAGATGGCTGACACCTTCCAGAAGCCGCAGGCCTCACTGCAGCAGCGACACAACTGTAAGTGTCACAGACACCCCAGGGAAGGTCTCCCCGGTAGTGACCACCAGTGACCTACCAAAGTCAAGGTGCCCCAGTGAAGTCTCCCTAAACCCAAATACGATTGGCACAGAAGCTGGGAAGAGCTCAGGGCAAGAATCACCACACCCAGAAACACCCAGTCGCTCTGGGCAGGTCTCCCGAGAGCAGGGCACAGAAAACCTAGAGAGTCAAAGTCCGGGGGAGGAGACAGAAGTCATAGACACCAGGCCCGGAGAGATGCACAGAAGCCTGGTGTACATCCACCCAGGCCTGGCCAACGCTATTGGAAACAACATCACAGAGAGCCTTGTGGAATTCCGCCCAGTGTGGTCCATGAAGGCAGCCAGGCTACACTCATTCACCAAGCCCTTCCTGCCCATTTTCCTGGGCAGCCAACCCGTCTATGGCCCCTTCTTCCCGGGCACCTCCACCACCCACACCTCTACCCCATCAGTCCTGAGCTTGGGAAGAGACATCATGACAGCGTCTTTTGAGAATCCCAACTCCTTTGAGGACCTTTGTGATAAAGGTCAAGATGTGTGGTGTTTGGACAATAAACACCTTTTCACCACAAATTGGGTAGAGGAAGAAGGAGTCCCATACACTGAGTCACCTCCGCTGGAGTTAGAAGAGGCCATGATGCTCTCTGAGTTAAAGAAAGATTCTGAGCTCCTAGTTAATGCATCACCTTGTATAGCAGAGCATCCTAAAGTGCTTTGTATAGATGTCTAAAAGCTGATTTTATTTTGTATAGTTACATTTCAATGTGATACTGGCCTGTTATAGTCCATAATAGGGAAGGTTGAATTTTTTTGTTGATAAGAGTTGCTTTTGACTATTTGACTTGAATAACAATGAGGCAATTGCTTCTTAAACAAACGTGGAAACACATTTCATTTGTTGAATGGAGACCGTGTAATACTTTTTCTAGTTTTTCACTATAAGGGAAAATAATTTGTCTTTTTAGTAGAATGTCTTACCTATGTTGTTAATCTCAAACCATATTACCTATACTTTTTGGAGCCCAGTGTATGTAGCCTTCAGGGAATCTAAACAATTATAGCCATTTTTAATTAATCTTTATAAAATACTTTTATTATGGTTATGTCTCCTTAGTTAAGTTTGTTTTTATTTAGTAGGATAACACATGAAATACGTAGTAGATTTCATTTCAGGGGCAAAATTGCTCAAAATATTTTTATTGATATTACCGGTTAGCAATTCATTATTTAAAGTTCCAGATATAATATTCCTGTCTTAGTACTATTTTTATGCAAAGGACCTGAAATGTAACCATCATTGTCTAAATAAGTTACAATGATACATTCTTAGTAAAATTTAATTTTAGGTGAACTACCTATTTTTTAAATTAGAATGATTTAAAATTTGTAAGCATTTAATAAATTTTCTTTTCTTTTTTGAAGTGCCCCATTTCTAACTTTTCCAAAGCTTTTAGACATATATTGTCTTTTCTTTCAATTTCTAAGCTTGAAAGTAATGAAAACATAAAGGAAAGTGTTTATAGACATTCACATGTTCATTTCTGAGGCATATATGTTTCTCTAAATGCCTGGAACTGGTTTGAAAACAAAAAGCAGTATTCACAACATAAAATTATAGAGAATTCTAACATGTCAGAAGTATGTTTATTATCTGGCTTTTAAGCACTGCCCTTTGCTCTAGTGCACTTCAGAACACAGAATAATTACACAGAGAGTTTTTTAAAACATGTTTATTACTTAGTCCACATTAGAACTCTTCAAGGCTCTTGGACCTCATTTTGAGAAACACTTTCTTGAAGTTATTTTTTATTCTCCAGGTAAATAGTAGAAAGTGTATTCATGTTATAATATTTTAAGATGGCAAAAGCAGCAATTTACAACTTTATGAATCTTTTTGAAGAAATTTGAAATGAATGACTTCATTAGATATCTTCCTTATTCCCCTCAACAAAATCTTACCAGGTTTCTAGGAAAGATATACAAAAGATAAGCACTTCGCTTTTATGAGGTTTTCACCTTTAGTCAGGGTGCTCTTTTTTTTATTTTTAAATAGTAAGATTGTGTATATTTTATGCAGAATTGCATTAAAATATGTTTTGATTCTTTTTGCAGTCTTTAAATGTCTTGCCAGTTCTTTTCCTGTTGTATAGAAGGTCTCTCAAAGTGTTCACCAGAGGAATTAGGGAGTTTATGGTCATAATGGTTGGCATTTCACTGCTCAAGGAAATATTTTATTTTGCCCGTGCCTGTAGTCAGATCATTGTATGCATATGCACCCTGGATTAAATTTCAAGTATCTTGTTCAGTGCCAGTACACTTACTTCATAAATTCGTGTTGTTTTCATTTTTGTCATGTAGAGTACTGCCTTGGTCATCGCAAAGTATTCTGTATTTGTGTACCTTCTTTTTCATGTAAAGAATTTTAAATAAAATATTTAATAAATATCAAAAAAATGCCAAAGATCTTACATTTTAGGAGGATCAGAATCATCTGCAGGTGACTCCTGGTTCCATCTCTAGAGTTTCTGACTCAGAAACTTTGAACTAACATGTTCTCAAGTAATACTAATGCCCACAGTTGGGACCATACATTCAGACCCACTGCAGTCAAGGGCTATCTATGCACCAAAGGAGAGAGTAGTCAAAGTGCAGATTGCTGTTTTTCTTGTTTCCAAGATGTAGCTGTATCATGAAGCCACACTTTAATATATTTTCGTGCAGTAGTTAGTAGGGAAATAAAAGTCCAAAACACAAAAAGATATCTAGATATAACAGGAATGCCAGCTACTGCCAACAGCTGACTCTTTATTGGAGGGATTCTCTTCACACACTCAGTGGGCTTTGATTCTCATGAGCCTGAGAGGATGTCTCTCAGATGCTCACCACCCAGCTATCTTCCTGGGCTCAGAATGTTGTCCCTTCTGCTCTTTGACATTTGAGGTCTAGGCCCCAGCATTGCGGGGTCCCAGCCAGAGCTCAGGTTGGGGCTGTGCCTCTTCCCTGATAGGATATCTTCCATTTCCTTTTTCTGTGTCTTTGTGGATTTATTCGTGATCATCTAAATGTCATTTTCCATTAGTGATCTTGGGCCCAAACTCAAGAAAGAGCACATATTTGGCCGCTGACAGCACTTCTGGATTTTACTGAAACCTGTGAATACATAGAAAATTATCACATGCATATGCAATTCTACAAAAATCTGGAGAAAATAAACATTTTTATTTTCTCATGGGCTCATGAAAGAAATCAAATTGTAGACTGAACAAACATGAAGAAACCTGGAGGGCCAGGAATGTCCATAATAACAGATGAGCCTTTCTTCCTGGCTCAGAAGCAGTTCGGGGTCCACACTGGAGGAAACACTAGTGGTGATTTGATGGGTGGCTGGAGGACTAAGTTGTCAATAAGAGCTCCTGAGCACAAACATCACTTGTGACCTCCAGATTCCTGAGACTTTCAAGGTGAGGCTCCAAATAGATGCCTTGGGCCTCTGAGATGAGGGGAGAAGATTGAGCCCTGAGAAATGAACCCAGAGCCTTCTCCAGTCAGACATTCTGAGGACTTTTCCACAACTTTATTCTTCTTGGACAAAAAGTATCATGAATACAGAGGTAACACCCTTCATTGCATGATAACTTTAGGGGTCAAAATAGTCTATAGGACAAATAAAACTGGATCATACAAGATGAACCACAAAAATCAGCTTTCTAGTGCTTTGAGTATCTCATTAGCAAGTGTATGGAACACAGAATGGATTATTCTAACCTGCAATGGCACACCATGTTGGGAGACACTCAGATCACAGAGGCATGATCTTCAATCTCAGGTCTAGGTGTTAGCACCAGGAGTGAGTGCCTGGCAGGGTTGTGGAGGCTCAGAGCGTTGGACAGATGAATGGACCCTGTGGACCAATAAGTGGGTAAAGATGCAGAAGAGTGGATGTCAATATAATCTCTATGAAAACCCTAAAATTCTGTTTTTTTCCATTGTGAATGAGTCCACAATAAAATTAACACCAATTCTTAGGCAAGATTTTGGAACCTGAGTCATGAGACTCACATTCAAGTCCCATCCTTGAGGGGATCGTAAACACATCCCCAGAGCACACATCATAGGTCTGGTCTGAAGACCCAGGGTCTTCCTGTGGAGCAGATGGCAAACCATCAATCCAGAGAACTGATGTAGATACCATTCTAGGAGGCCTGGCGACTCATGCACCATTGTGAGTTCTCATGTGGGACGAATAGTGTCGGTCTCTTTGAGACAACAGTGAGCTATGTTGATACCTGATGGAAGCAGGCCCTGGTCAATACAGCTGCTTAGCATCAAGACCACTGATAGCCAAGAGGAGGATCAGGTGATTTATGGGCCATTCACAGTTGAGTTGAGAGAGCAGAGCTCTCTTGTGTTGCCTTCATCCTCAGGAACATGAGGCCGGTATGCACAGATTTTTTTTTTTTTTAAGCAAGGGAGAGAAGATGTATCTCCTTAGACAGGATAAGGACATGGACACCAGCACCACACTGCTGCTTGTCCTCTTTCTCAGGCTGGATTAGGTCTGGAGCTAAGAAGTTTTCTGCCTCATGAATATGCAAATAAGCAGCATCTGCTGAGGTGAATATGGATATATCTGTGCCCCAGAGCATTCCACAGCCATCACCCTCTTTTGAAGAATCCAACAGAGCACAGCTCCTCACCATGGACTGGACCTGGAGAATCCTCTTCTTGGTGGCAGCTGTGAAAAGTGAGATGACACCCAGTCCTAGGGCTACAGAAGGGACCATAGCTGCTCAGGGGTCCTGCGTCCAACTCTGGTCTTCTTTCCACAGGTGCCCATGGCAAGGGGCAGTTGGTGCAGTCTGGGGCTGAGGTGAGGAGGCCCAAGGAGTCTGTGAAGATCTCCTGCAAGGCTT